ACAAGTAAAACATCTTTTTTGAAAGCAGCATAATCCCGGGTTACATCTCTTCGTACAGACACAAATTCAAGTTCATGCTCATTTTTATATTCCATTCCATATCTTATTACTATTCTACATTTTCTACATAGCTTCTCTCCTCTTTTAACTTCCTTAATTTTATTTTATTTATTTCATCTCAATTCAAATCATTGTACTTATATTCTTTGTCTGTCCTGTTTCAACTGTCTACTATCTTTTCTCATTAAACAAAATTTCTCCTGTAATCACTGATTGGAGTATGATGCCTTTATATCTTTCCACTAAAATTATAACACTTAATATAATACATAACTTCCATTCGGATTCTGCTTGGCACATTCTAAAACTACACACTGTATTCTTGAAAAAAGAAAAAAAATTATAAATGTATAATATAATTAAAACAACAATCCATTCCAATTCAATTCTATCATTAATATTAATATTCATTTAAATCTTAACATTTTGCACATTACTTTTCAAATAAATATCATACTTCTATGGGAACAATTATAAACTTTCTATAGTTAATATTGTTGAAATATTTTTTTTCCTCCTCGGTAGCCATCCTTTCAAGGGATTAAGCATTAAGAAGTTGTTCCTTTTTCTACCTTTGTAAAACCTTTTTTTCCCAAGATCAAAAATGTGTTTTTTATTTTCCTTTCACTATATAAGAGAAATCCATTTCTCTTACCTATCTTACATTTTTGCATGTTCTAAAACAACATTCCATGCATGAGAAATAGGTATCTAAAGCTTTTTCCCTTAATTAATAATCCCCAATTAAAACCAGAGGCGGAGATCAAAACCACCCAATTGAGAAGAGAAAACAACAACTATTTTAACATTATTTAAAGCTGTTTTTATTTTTCCCCTCTGGGGGTTAAAAATAGCAAACTTTCAGTAGTTAGCAGGGTTGTATAAACACATAAACATCCTTGCAGGTCCACGGCATAACCTATTAAAAACCTGTACCAGTCGGCTGATTTGAAAGATGATTATTTTATGGCATGCTTGATTACCGGAAAGAGAGTTATAAAAGAGAGAGAGAGAAAAGTGAATGGTTGATTCATAAAAAGCAAACCTTACCCAGATTTTGAATGTTGGTTGGACTTTATTCTGCAGTTAAATTTCAATAGCAAGTGGGTTTAAGCCCTTACACAGAGATGCTACTCATTTAATACTCATTGTCTGGGCATTTCTTGTCTCAGATCTGCTGACTCTCTTTTGAAAGTTTGAAGAGTTTACCCTGATGAGGCTTCTGTGTCATGTTTACTGAAGCGCAGATTGGCCTGTAAAAGATGACTCGGTTTGCCAGGCAAGGCATTGGGTACAGTCATACCAGAAGGATGATGAGTCTTGATTTTTAGGGAGGGAAGGGTTGCCTATAAGGTGAGATATTTTCTTAATACGATATCACTCTTCCTTTTTATGATCCTGCCGTTCTTGAAAAGATCGTGTTGGAAGAAAACCGTGCTATAAATATTTGGGGATGGGGCTCTAATTTTCTCAGTGAGAATCACTTTTTATAAAAGGAAACTGCATGGCACATTATCACATTTTATTTTTCTAGGATTAGGGTTTTCCGAGGATTGAGGAGCTGTTCCTGGGATAAATTGGGAGGCCAGGTTTTGGGATGGATACACACCAGTAAAAGTCCATGTTAGGGCATGTTCGTGGTCTTAAAACTTTCCAGTCCAGTAAAATAATTGAATTTTTGGAAGCCACAGAGGTGCTTTTTAACCTGTGTATCTTGTTAAAAGAGTGAGGATATTGAAAAGAACAAAACGGATTTCTTCCCCATTCAAAAATCTAAATCTCCAAGAGAGCCTAACTTTGGTTATTTAAAAAAAGAAAAACAGTAGTCCTCAACGTACAACTGCAATTCAGCCCAACATTTCTGCTGTTAAGCAAGACATTTGTTAAGTGAATTCTTCCCATTTTGCAGCCTTCCTTGCCACAGTTGTTAAGCAAATCACCACAGTTGTTAAGTTAGTAATACGGTTGTTAAGTGAATATGGCATTGACTTTGTCAGAAGGTCGCAAAAGGGGATCACATGACCCTGGGACACCGCAAAACCGTCATAAAAATGAACCAGTTGCCAAACATCCAAATTTTGATCACGTGACCACGGGGATGTTGTGACAGTCGTGTGAAAAACGATCATGTCACTTTTTTCAGTGCCATGGTAACTTCAAACAGTCACTAAATGAACTGTTGTAAATTGAGGGCTGCTTGTATAAGAAATAATTGCAATATTGTCCAGGCTTGTTCACTCTTTGGTTTTCTGTTGATTTAGGGCGCACCTGCGCTGTTCAGACCTCGATGTACGTTTGACAAAAGAATGTTGTGAATGTATTTATTTATTCCATTGAGATGCTGCTGATCTTAGAGTCCAAAGCAAATCGCATAGGAAGCCCTAATCTAATTTCATTGAGAATGTTTGTTTTTAATACTTCGTCCACTTGGGAGAAGGCGAGTGGTTGGGAAAAATTTCCCTGCCGCACAAATCCCCCTTTTTGGGTTCTGGCATTCCTGCCATAGAAGAAACCCCCCAAAGTGCTATGTGGGGGACCCCCACGAGATTCAGGAGATGGAGTTGGAGTCGGCCAGGCCTTCCTGAGTGCAATTGCTGTGTCCAAGCAAGGAACCAGATTTCCAATTTTTGGTTTTCCCTGGCATTATTATCTCTTCCAAATGTGTTGGATGACAGGTTCAGAAGCCAAGTTTCTTTGTTAATCTTTCTTTCTTTCTTTCTTTCTTTCTTTCTTTCTTTCTTCTTTCTT